GAGAGCTTGGCGCGCGAATCGGTGCAGTCCTGCGCCAGTCCCGGCGTATCTCTTCTGGCTGTAGCTTTACACTACAGTAAGAAGGGCCAAGTGCCGCGCTTGCCCCGCAGCGCTTGCCGCGGAAAGTGGTTCTCACATACAAGGCAAGCGGACGCCCAAGTGGGCGACTTAAAGATTCCTTGCTACGCCGCCCCGAGCCAGCACGTTGTCCATATTTACTAATCATGAAGAGTCTTTTTTCTGACGCAAAGCAACGTTTCATAACTGAAGTTGCCAAAGCTGAAGAGGCCATATCACCATGCGCTTCCTGATCCCATCCAAGCAGCACACCCTGTGGAGAAAGGTCCAAATACTGTGTGCTCCGCGTGGTGTCTGGCCAGTGCTGTTCAATCAAGAGGTCCGTAAGCTTCGCCACTGCACTTTCACTGTACCGATGGCCATAATCGCTCCAATCACCGAAGTTCACCGTTTGCAAATCGGCCTCGAGCGCCGTGCGGTCGCAGCCGGAGCCGGACGACTCGCTTCCGCGGGCAGCCAGCACGTCACCGAAATGCTCGCTCGCCCAGGGTTCATGTAGCATAACGAAAAATCGCTCGGAGCCCCCAGCCCGGTCAGCCGATTTCAGCGGCATTGGCAGCGAGCCGCTGGAGGCGTGCACACAGCGCGGCAAGCTTCTCTTCCCGAAGCAGTCATGCCGAAGCAGCCCATCGAGGAAAGCCCCCGGGCCAGCTGTGTCTAGGACCGCGTGGTCCGCGCAGTCGTCGGTGTGCCCTCTGAACCCGGTCATCACGTTGTCAATTCCCTGCTGCATCACATAAAGGAGTGCGGGGTTGCGAGGGTACGTTGCAAAGAAGGCGTTCTGCAGCTTTCCTCTCCGTGGTCTCTGGAGACATTCGCGCCCGTACGGTGCAATTGCCTCAGCATCCAAGCACATTCCGATGTCCCCTTCTTGCAAAAGAACATCTCCTTTTGGTGCGCGTGGTGTTGTGCTCGAGCTCGGTGCCGAAATGCCATCAAATGAGTTCCCGTCCGTCGTATGTGTGTCTGTCCCTCCTGATGCCCCGAAAAGAGCATCTAAAACAGGGAATAATAGACGACGAGGTCGGTCCACCGAAACAGAAGCCTTCGCCGAAGAATTTTGGGTTTGTATTTCTTGTTCGGGTGGGCGCCCCATGCTCGGGGCCTCAGTCTTGGCGTCAAAATACGTTCCGCCACAGAAATACACTATCGCCATCCGAAACAAGTTCGCACGCGATGTCCAGGAGTTCAAGTTCTCAAACGCCGACAGAAGAGTCTGGTTGGCATTCCGCAGTTGCAGGAGCCCCTCTACATGCAAAAAATCCGACAGCAGCTCCACTGCGCGCCATGCTGCTTCGTGGTCAAAATGCCGCACGCCGAAAGGCAGGCCGTCGCCTGCAGCTTGGGCGGTTTGGTTGTTCCATTCGCCAAACAAACCAGGAAACATTGCTTCCGCGTCTTCCCGGGAAAGGGAATCTGGGGCGTCAAAGGGGGCCATCGTGAAAACATTTGTACGAGGCAGAACACGTCCGGCTTGATGTTTCTCCAGATTTGCACCTGAATTCGGGCACATGGCCTCTAGAGTCAGGGCGCCAGCGCTCACTGAAACGTAGGGAGACACAGGCTCCCAGACCTCCAACGTAGAAACAAGAATTGGGGCGGTAGCGTTCACGGAAACGTGCCGAAGTTGTACGGGCCCCCGATGCTCCGATACAGGACCGGGTGGTGTGATATCGCGACCGCGGTGCAAGCTTCGCCTGGTCTGAATCGCGATGCCGTGCTGCTTCCGTGCATCTGTCAAATTTGCGAGTCCGAAGAGTAAGACTGGTCTGACGAAGACCTTTCGTATCGGAAGACACTCTTGCCGTCGCTCAGACTTTTTGCCGCTGGAGCGCCGATCCGCAGAAACTGCAACGATCGACTGCGCCATATTGTTCAAACCTTCTTCGAGCAAATCGCGTCGATACTCCGGCTCCGCAAAACCGATTCAAACAGAAGCGAGTGCGCAGGGCTGTAATTGACTCCACCTCCGTCCTTCTTAGCTGCAGTAAGCTGATGATTGACTAGACAATACTACGTTAGTACTTAAACGTTGCAAGGCTACAGGAGTAGTTAGAAATAGATTCCTTGGAGAGTTCTCGTCTAAAGGCAATACTCACACGAAATTCTGAGTGCGAAGGGGTGCTTCGTCACTTCATTTGTTGTAGTTCGTGTTCCTGTGAAAATTTGCGATGTCATACTCGAGTGGTTCTTCATCTCCTCAAGATTGAGGTCATACGTCGTAATATTCAGACAAGCACGGCGCAATGGCGACTTGAAAAAAAAATCACGCCTTCCACGCGATTGTGTTATTTCGAACGAAAGAAGAGAGCACGAAACCACGAAGGGACGCATAACGAGAGAAATTCAAGGCGAGTACAAGCTTCTTCGATAGTCTTGAAACTATCTGTTCAATCTAGGATTTCCAGAGCCTCCCGAGAATAGGCCCATATCTCGAGTATGACATATTCCTTTCTAGACGAAATGTCGCTGGTTCAAATACCGATTGCACTGCGGAGGAAGTGACCGAATAAATAAACCTTTCACAATATCTTCTTTTGGACGAGTACAGTAAGAGCAACGAGTACCGACAGAGAAAACCGAAACAGCATGTGACAGCAAGTTTTTTCTCATCCATACTGCAAACAAAATCACAAGGGCATTCCGCCATTATTCATCAGAAAGATTTCTTGTTGGAAGCCGATGCCGCAG